CTACTCACCATCATCCACCTGGACCACCTCCACTCCCGCCTCCCTCTCAACCTGCGGACCATCATCCACCTCCACTCCCGCCTCCCTCTCAACCTACGCACCATCACCCCCCCTAATCTATCATGCAGCGTAGGCGACAACCCTGTCCGCCCTGCTCCCGCCAACTCGTCCCCCATACCTCGAATACCCTCAAGGTCATCAACTCCGCTCGCTCCGTGCTCCTCCGCCCGTCTCTCCCTCACCACCGCTGTCCCGCTATAAACACCCTCCTTCAAAACGAGCTGACGGGCTACGCTACACAACGATCCATGGCCGCGTATGCGCAACGAGGATCTTAAGTCCTCCCTCCTGACCGTTGATGGTGAGCGCTCAACATGCCCTATGGAAGCAGTCTCGGCGGACGATGCTACTGAATGACAAGGAAGATGCAACTACGACGAAGGTCCGGACTCCGTCGCGTGAGTACTCGTCCGCTCGCACGTCCTCGTAGGAGCAGGAGTCTGCTGCTGCGTGGTCGCGTAAACAGTCGTCTGTTCTCGCACTATGGCGGTAGGAGCAGGCGTATGCTCTCGTGCGGGAGTGGGTGATCTCGCCTCTACTCCCCGAAATCCCCCGCCCCCAGCGCGGTGTGTGGCCGCTCTGCCCCCTCGTGCGAGTCGCCGACCTCCTCGTGCAACTCGTCAATCTCGCGCGGGATGGGAAGCACGGGATCGTTCGCACATTCCCGCTCCCTCTCGTCCCCAGATGCATGATCCCTGGGGTATGGCCAGAAGATAGCCACACGAGCACCGAAAACAGACTCTGTAGGGGGCGGCGCAGAGCAACCGATGGGATCGCGCGAAGTGACGGCAGCCTGCTCCTCGATCTCCTCCGGCGTCATCGAGCTCTTCATCCCCGAACGCACGGGGTCCAGCTCTATGCCTGCCTGAGCGTCGAGCATACCCTCGTCTCGCTGCCAAGGGAGAACATACCCACAACCTGCACGTCTGTACTCCATCAACCACACATTTGCGGTGATCTCGACAAGATGGACGACCTTCTCGAAGGCCAACTGATTGTTCTTCTTCGCGTGGATGCTCTCATGGACCACCCAGTTCCTCTCCGCTGGAGAGGCGCAGAACCACATATGCATCAAACGAAGGGCGCAATACTGTAACTCAGGCGCGTCTCCCTCGTACTGAGACCCCTAGGACGCACACTCCATTATCTCGCGGTCCCCGCTGCAAGTGCGCGCCCGAGCGCGGCCCTCTCCCCCGCCCCAACTCCCATACCTACCCTGCTGCATGTGGAAGTCCTCAAACTGCCGACATACCTCAAGGTAGGGAGCACCCTCCACGTCGAAGCCGGTCTGAGACAACAGATACCTCTTGGCTTGGCGAACAAGCCATGTGTGGTACTCGTCGAGCTGAGCTGAGAAGTACTGAACATCCCGTCGACGGGGGTTCAGTAAGAATGCCTCGCAGTATGCAGGCTCCATCATGTGGTGAATACGGGCCTGCACATGCCTCATGACGCGGTCAGAAAACGAATGGCCGAAAGGGGCGCAAGCGTCCCGCACGAGGCATGCAAGATCCTGAGTCCACTCTACAACGAGGGACATGAACTGGCCGCCACGATCAATCCGCCTCAACAACTCCATGACGGACTCCATGACGTGTAAGATGGCCCGCATTCTCTCCCACCAAGGGGACCACCTGATCTGGCGGCGCACCGAACACGCCATGTCAGAGACGTCGCGCGACCATGGGATCCTTGCCCTAGCCTGCCCGTCCACCCCTCTCATCATGTCCTGCAAACGATCCTGCAGAGCCAACAACCTTTCTAACATGGAGTACACAGACGCAAATCGCGTCTCACATGAAAGTACGAGCCCCAAAGCTCCTCCTGTGCACCTCCGGAAGAAGCTAAGAGCGGCCTGGTGGGTTTTGAAAAACACCACCAGAACTCGGGCACGTGTGATCGTGTCCACGAAAGAGGTGCAGATCGTGCCAATGTCTGACAACAACTTGTTGCAGACATGGACGGACCACAAGAGCCAAGTAATCCTCCGCAGCTCAGGGGGCATAGTTGCATCGGCCAAAGCCCTCGCAACCCCCACATACGCAGAAGCAGAGTCAGTGCATATAGCATTGACCAGCTGTGGGCCACCAAACCTGAAATCGTGGAAGATGGTGACCCATCTCTGTAGAACGTGCACGGAATCATCCGGCTCCCCCTCTCGGTTGATCGTCATGTACATGACGACCCCTCGAGACCCCGCTGCGAGGAAGTTCACGATCGGTCGCCCGTCTCGTGACTTCCTCCCGTCAGAGAGGAGGGTGGCACCGCTCGACCAAAACGGTTGCCTAACCTCCTCCAATTCCTCCGCCAACTCCTGGAGGTGGATCTCCACAGCTCGCACGCTCGCAATCTCGCTGTGGGAGGGAAGCACGGGCAGAGGTCCTCCACCAGGATGCTGAAGTGTGACCTGCTGGAGGTCCCTCCACGACGTGTTGCAGAAGGCATTGAAGGCAACCCCGCTGGAGTACGCCCAGCGAAAGAATGCCTTCCTCCAATGACCGATTCACTCGCCACCATAAGTGTTTGTCACCCTTTGCTGCCGCAGCCTCTTCCCGGCCTGCGTGGCAGGAAGATCTGCACCCCCGTCCTTCCTTTTGGAAGAACCAGGTGTATCACGAACAGGAGTCCTGGAGGAACTCGGCGTGCTAGGTATCTCAGGCGGGACGGGCCTCTTCCCCACGGGATCCCAGCCCCGCGTCCTCTGACGAGTGACCGGATCAACCTCGGGCACGGCCCCCTCTCCCGTCACCGTCCGCTCACCCTTTGCCATGCTACCCTCGCGGTCGACTCCCGCCTCGCCCTCCTCCGCAACACCGGCGCCCGCCCCATCTCTCACAGAACCACCCTCGGACCAACGCTGGGTATCCTCTCCCCCGCCGACGCCCTCTCCACTCCACTCTGCCTCGCCACCCATTGCTCCAGACCGCGGGACATCTAGCCAACGCTCCTGTGCGTAGTGTCGGACCCTCTCTGCCTGGTCGGCCTCGAAGCGGTGTGTGCACTTGTGCGCAATGTCAAACAGCGCTTCGTCGGACACCTTCTTGCAATATTGTGGCTGGGTGAAGTGTTTTGTCGCATAATACTGGGTTCCTTGCCACACCTTATTGCAGAAGGTGCACCGTAGCATCCTAACCCCCCTGGTGTCCACCGCCTGGCCGACGACCATGTAACGGTACACAGCCCCCTTGCGCCTGAAATCCTGCTGCACATTTTCAGGTGCAGGCTCATGACTGCGCGTCTGTTGTCGCGGCATCGTGGACCCCCCTCAAAGCCGCGCCTGTTCGGCTTCAAGGCAGTCCCCTCGGTCGACTCACCACGGCAGCCGCCGAGCAACCCCCCCCCCCCCCCCAGCGGTGCTACAGACGGCCTTGGCCCCCAGTTCGACTCCCGTTGAACCCCGTTGAACCCCGTTGAACCCCGCTGAACCCCGTTATACCCCCGTTGTACCCCCGTTGTACCCCCGTTGTACCCCCGTTGAACCCCCGTTGAACCTCCGTTGAGACGTCGTCGCACAGTTGCAACCCCGATGCGCTCCGACCCTTTAGCGCCGCACAAGAATCTCCATTGCACCTCATTAACACAAAAAACAAACGAAAACCCATGAGTCCAACTAAAAAAACAAAACGACAACAACTCTCTCTCTCTCTCTCTCTCTCTCTCTCTCTCTCTCTCTCTCTCTCTCTCTCTCTCTCTCT